GTGTGACAGGTCCACACCTACCCAGGCTATGTCGGATTTAGGAATCGGGCCTGGTATTTTACAAATAGTGCGTGATGGGAATAAGACGGCGAATTAATGACCCCCGTATGAAAGCGGGACAGACCTGAACTAGCATTTAGGAGCAAGAGAACGGTTCAATTGGTTAGAACAGGTTCAATTCATGAACCAAAATTCAAACCCTGAGAACCCTTTTCCCCTCCCTAGAGTAGATTCCTCCAATTACTGGAAAAAAGCTGACATTCACAAATTTCCACCCCTTCCTCACAGAATCCAATTTTGGGCATCATCAAACAGCCAGATAGCCCATATTGCTACTCTTCAGAACTTGAACAGATCGATTTTAAACCACCTTCACGAATTTTTGTCATGGTTATTATGATCACGTGAAGAAAAAGATGTCCTATTCCAGTGCACACAATTCTGTTGATAACAACAGTATATCTTTGCATGTATCAGTATGCTTGTAATTCACATTTTTTACACCAAGTTGCAATATAACAACATATTTCCAAAATCCAACCTTCGTTTTAGAAGGCAAAAAGGAAAAAATATAACACGGAAGAAGAATGAAAGCAAAACCAAATACGTGGGCAAGTTTGTAGTATTCCTATCTAAACGCAGAGGTGTGGAAAACAACTTAGCCATTGAAACTGTCCCGAGTCTCTTGACACCAAATTTTGTTACTGCTGCAGACCTAAAAACTGTTCCTTGCAAATCAAGCAATAACAGATGAAACTGACCTCTGACCATGACAAGCAAAGTTCCATCTCTTTCTTTCTATTGCTCTTCAATTTCAGCATTTCCATTTTGTGCAGTCATAATTTACAAATTCAGTCCCTAATACAATATCTTTGCCAACAACTGCAATTACCGGTTCTATCATTATAAAGATCTGGATCTGTAGCTGGAAAAAGAAGCCACAGGAAACCCACCATGCCGGTAATAGATGCAACGCTTACAAACCCTGAGAGAATAACTAGATAAGAGGTTTGGCAAACAAATCATCTATAAAATTTGAATAATAAAATGCTGTAAAAGACATTCTGAAAATAGCATTCAAGCACTGGGTCTAGCACCAAGCAGGAGAGATTTAGCCCGATGCATATACTGTTGCTTCACATAAGAATATATGATAGGTCAAAACAAGAAGTAACCGCTAAGCATCAGATTAAACCTAAAAAAGTATACGAGAGTCAACAAGTCAAATTGGTTTGTTGGCACATAATTACCAGAGAACTCTCTTTCAAAGATAAACTTCTGAGAATTATTTTTGAAATGTTTCAGAAACAACATAATCTCAACTGTAGATAATATTTCAAGAAATGGTAAGGAACTTACTAGAAACATATTTCTCATATTTCTACAATTTCTTAAGTTTTACTTTTCAAAAACACGGTATAGTTGCCTTGCCAATCCTCTGAATGGTGTATAAAATATATCTCAAGAATTATTTCACAAATAGTATAGTTCCCTCGTATTCCCAAGATCCTAAAAGATCATATGTTGTAAAGTATCTTGCTTGATTAGCTGTTTCCTAGCTCTACTTTCCATCCTGGCAGCTATAGCCACGTCAAGCAGCTGGGTTCAAATTATGCAAACAGTTTGCATCATCTGCAAAAGGGGTTATCAGCCAGAAGTATCATTACAAACTAAAGTACTACAGTGAATAAATAATTACAAACATATACTCTAGTATTATGTGTCAAAACTGTGTCTATACCATAACTTTGTTCTAGACTTCCCTAGAAAAATAAAGGCTATTATCATAGCAAATGAAAAATCTGTGCCAACAACTTTCCTGATAGAATAAGTGTCATTCATTTACAAGAGCAAAAATTGTCTGATGTTTAACGAGATGCACATAAAACAGAAATAGCTGCGTATAGGTTTCATTTTACTAAATAATTGACATAATGGAAGTGCATAAAGTCATAGCAAAAGATCATTGTGAGGTAACCAATTAACATACTGCTCCTCTGAGAGTACAGCCGTGGCAAGCCCATGAGATTGCAAAATATATGGGCAACTAGGGGAGCAATCAGATGACCTGCAAGAACAATGAATTCAATACTCAAAAAGGGAAAACCATGAGGATAAAGATCATGTAACCACTTTTACATAAAAGGAAGGTTTCAAATGCCACACAAGGATATAACAAGAATCAACATCTCCAAAAGAAGGATATTTTTCTTTTCTTGTTAATGTTGAAGAAACAAACAGGGTACCAATAAATTTCACAAAAATAAAATCCAAGTTAACTACTCCCAACTTAATGACAACTTGAACAGCTTGTTTGAAACACAAGTGATATGGGACTCATTGTGACCACTTGTTCATACTAATCAAATGGTGGCCTGGCCCCTATATCTCAAAAATATAAAACAATCAAACTCAAAGATACGGATGACAGACACCTTCCCTCTTTTCTTCTCTTTTTCTTTTTAGCCATCCTCTCCGAGTCTCAAGTTTATATATAAAGTTGTGCCACTAGCAATAAGACAATAACATAACTGTGACCAAGGTCAAAATTTACTCAATTTACCTCAGCAAGCAACATAATCAATAGAAAGTATATAAATGCAGAAAATGGTAAGGAACACTCAGACTCTGCAAGTATCACAAAATCCAGGCAAAATGAAAAAATGGATATAAATGCCACCTGGTGCATAAAGCACATGCCATTGCACAAGCTAGGAAGAATTGAACATAGCCATATACCAACATGCAAAGATGCTATCTTCTGAGATTTAACCCGTGATGTTCCCTCTCTCTCTAACAGTAGGTCCAGCTAACAAAGACCCACCCCATTGAAAAATGGATATGGCAAAAAGCTCTCTCATCATGATCATGTACGAGATGCAGGAATCATCACCCACCTGTCCGAATGAAGAGAAATGATGCATATGATCCAAAAGTCACAGTATACCCAAGCTGGAGACCTGGTAAACATCAATAAAAAAATAAATCTATTAAATTAAACTAAATTAAATTAAATTAACAAAAAAGAACAACAAGGAACGTAAAAATAAGAGAGTACTGCTGATGTGCATCAAGGCCATTTTACTGCCCTGGGTTGTGAAAAAGTTTCACAGTGAAGAAGAAAACTACTTCCAAGAACAAATACAAACATCCCCTACTATCTAATTCTAATTAAGATACAAGGTCCAAGATAAGTACAAAGCATGAACCTGCAGCCATCAAAGCTTTGAGCATGCTATGGTTTTGCTGGCTATAGAACTCCAAGAAATGATGTAAATGAGCTGCAAGATAAAAATAAGTACATTTGACTTATCATAAAAGATGGATAACAAATAACAATAATGCAGTCTCCAATCCTTAATGTTTTGAAATATATATATTTGAGCAAACTTTTTATAAAAAGCATTATTTTTTGTCTTTATTATTATTATTTTTTAATTTTTAAAGGCATAAGGGGTTGGAAGGAGTAGTCAGTTTACATGTACTCTAAGATAACATCAAGACCACATATAGAACCAGATGACAGCAATATACATTCATGACACAGATGCTTGTACCACAATCATGAATGATGCTGACACATGGCATTTTGTGGGACATATAAAACATATCCATGTGAGGTACTCCATGGAAATGTTTGGACACATGCTGCATAAGCCATATGGCATGCCTAATTTCCTATTTTTATTTATGTTTGGTACACATGGCCAAGTATAGAGACATTTGTGTGTAGACACAAGAAGACGTGTCTCTGCATCAGTATAATGAAGAAATATAGAACTCAGATCTTTTAATCATGTCTGAAATGGAAGAAGCCAAGTTTGTGCTTGCTTCCTCAAGCTTGGAGGAAAGATTGAACCCAAAGATGGACAAGTTCCCCTTCTTATATAAATAATCCCAAAGTCTGCCTAATGAAAAAATACACAGTTCAAAAATGATTGGATGATATTGAAGATCTGTTAAAACTTAATCACTTACCCAAGCTGAAAAAAATAGGACAGAAGAATATAATGCTATATGTTCTAAATCCTCCACAGAGAAGCAAAGAAATCATGCACGCTCTAAATACCAGCTCTTCTGTCAATGGTGCCTGTTTAACAAAACAATAACATTAAGTTATGGTTTCAGTTGTTTAACAAGAAAACCAAGCTTATGTAAACAATCCAATAATTATATTGTTTAGCAATGTTAACAAATGTTTATTCCATCCAGGCACCATAACATAAAGTTATGGTTTCAGTTGTTTAATGAGAAAACCAACACATAAAAAGTATCCATACAGTTCTCCAGATGGTAGTATAATAACTTCAAGCGCCTACACATTATGTAGCCAGAAACATGAAAACTACCAAAAGCATGTGAGATTATTTGGAGTCAAGAGTGATTAGGAGGGTACAATTCATATCAAAATAACAAAATGAAGTTGCTTGCCAATATCAATGCAATGAGCTAAACAAACATAAGCATTTTATGATTAGTTTATGTTATAGTTTACACTTTGAGAAGACTTTGGATGAGGATTAGGGGGTACAAATCATATCGAAAGGAAAAAAACAAGTTGAAGTCGCTTGCCAATATCAATGCAATGGGTGTAACAAACACAAGCATTTTATGCTCAGTTTATGTTTATGTTTATACTTTGAGAGTGCATTCGTATGAAGTGATTTGATGAGAAATGATCAAAATGGGGGGAAAATTGATGAGATGTGTTTGGATAGCTCAAGTGGCATGAAACAGTAAGAATGGGCAAGCAACCCTTTCAAAAATATCATCTTGCTTGCTCACTAGAAGTGGTGAGATAGTTGAGAAAAGAATGAATCAGTTGAATAATTATTAACACGTCTCTTTTTTTCTTGTTATGTAGTCTGACAAAACAAGATTGCTGAGAAATTATTCCTTTTTCTCACAGTTTCTGACTTTGTTATCTAAAGCCCAAACAAATTGTTGAGAAAACCAAGTCGTTTATTTGTTTTATTTTACACATTTCTATCCAACATTTTTTAACCGTATGAAGGCCTAAGATGACACATGAAATAAACCACACAGAAAAATTGTGCATCATAAACTAGACAAAACAATGACAGTTTCATCTGAAAAGAAAGCCAAGTCAACTTAGAAAGAGAATGCATTAAAGAGAGTTAAATAAGAATTAATAAAATTGAAAGATACTAACCACAATAAAATAACGCCAAGACAAGACATCAGAAGCAAATGATAACATCTTGGAAATCAATATTTGCAAAACATTATCCATACAGTTGGATGAGTGGCCTTCACCATCATTCCGGTGCTCCTTCCACGATTTCAACAGTGATATGGACTTTAGGACCAAAGACCCAGCATACATTAGAGAAGTCAAGGAAACAGGATAGACCACAGCTTGCCACTGTTTCATACATAAAATTGCATTCAGCAGGCAAATTTAGCAATCAAACATCCTTTTCCAATCTGCAAACCACAAAAGCATGTAACTTGATAATACTGCAAGCTAAACACCAACTAATTCCTAGAAATCAATTATACGATTTAAACTCAATACTCACCAAGTGGTCCAGTCGAACGCCATAAACACCAAATAAGTACGATGCTTCCCAGCTTCTTAACTAACATAGTTCGAGCAGCAAATTAAAAAGGTCAGATGTCTAGACTTGTAAGCTATAGCCTCAACAATATAACCTTCTCCTTAGAACAAGTGTATCATGGACATCTGAACTTAGACTTTCAACCCGCACAAATTTAATAGAAGTTAGCCTTCCACCCAGAAGAAACATGAGAGAGTCAGCAGAAAGCAAGTGGCCATATTGAAAATTCCACAGAAAAAACAATAATAGTCCACCATAGCACTATAAAACTAATATTTATGAGATCACCTATTAACTTAGGCAAATTTTGCTCACCAAACCAAGCAAATACTTTCTATTCCATCGGTTCCTGTTCCATGTTAACTAATGGTTTGGCCAAGTAGAGTTCGCAGTTAAAACTGCAACAAAATTTGAAACTTATAGAAGAACAAATAAGAAATGCAAGGATGCACAAATGCCTATGTCTGTTAACCCTATTAAATCAACCATTTTAAGTAGATGGGCCATTCAAATTGCAGCCTAATTCAACTGAACTGAAATGGTATTTGTCTGGAGACTCCTATGTTCATGGGTGGAGCCTCATGAACTCAAACTTCGATATTCTTTTATATATTTCACAAATATTTGTTCTGATACATTTGTTGACCACTAAAAAATTTGAAGTGACCCCACTAACAACAACAAAAAGATTGGTTTAATAAATGTAAAGTTCTACTTTAGATTATTTCTATTATATATATAAGATAAATAATTTACTTCTACAGTTTAAACTATATACTATTTTGGGAATAATCCAAATCTTTTTAAGATAAAAAGGATCAGTTCTTAAATTTGAAACTAATCTGACAATATAAACAGATCATGACAAAATATAAAAATAGGTGGTCTATATTTAAAAATGACCATTCATTCTCAGAAAAAATTGAAACCATTGATATTTATAAAATCTAGCCTATTATTATGTTTAAAAGGTAAAAATAAATGACAAAGAATTATTAAATAAAGCTATTATTACAAAAATGATATAACCTTATGGAATATGGATAGCCTTCTTCTAGTCTCTCCCCTTTGGCCTTAGGGCCTGAACCCTCCTTTGTAACTCCACCCTCCCAAAAAAGTTTTTTGAAATCCTTAAAAGTTGTTGAGAAGAAAACTTTTAGTGACATTAAAATTTTTAAGTTTTTTAGTTAATTTTACTTAAAATTTTTGAATATTTACTTTTATATTAATATTTATTGACTGATCCCTCAAAAAATATTTTCTGGCTATGCCACTGTCTACTTACTTGGATGTCACTAGAACAATATCATTTTGGTTCCTAAGGTTCACATTCATATATTTATCACATGATGCATTTATTTATTTTTAAAAAAAATTATCCAAAATGAATGGAGTAGGGAGGGCATTTTAATCATAAATATTTCAACAAATTTTGAAGAAAATCCAAATGTGAAGAAAAAAACAAATGAATCCACAAATCAATAATAAGGCCTGATTATAAAATAGAAGCATTTAACATAACATGACCTCTCACAAACACTCCCTGATCACATATCTGACCATATATGTTAGATTATTTCAAGTATCAGCAAATGCCAACTGCTATTAAAATGTATGAAACAAAGTTTGTGTTCATGTGACAATAAATATTTCAAAAGCAAGCATCTTTTAAGTAAATACTGAAATTGTTTCAAATGAGGAATTACTTCATCTTGGCCCCTGCTTGCAGCTTGGAAATAGCATGGCAATGCAAGAAAGAAAAGAAACCATTTGCCCTTGTATGTTCTCTCATACTGAATAAACACCAAACTAAGGGTCTGTTTGGTTACCCGCCTTTTTAGACTTGTGAATTCTGCTTTTCAACTCAAAAGGCCTAAAAACCAAAACACTGCAGCTTCTTAGCTTACCAAAAATTTTACGATTGCTCAACTTTTGTGCTAAAAGGCCAAAGGCATATCTTGAAAAGCTAATCCACCAATCAGGCAAGGAAACAAAGTGGAAGAAGTAAAAATTTCTCTCATTTGTTGGACATAATTAATTTCCCTTCCTATAATTCATGGCGATCATAGAAACGAAACTAATAAGCTTACTCATATTCCGTTCTGCAACTTCATCAAATCCGTAGGCTAACCTTCAATTATCCGCACACATGTAAAAACACGTATAAGCAAGTCGACAAATTCTACACATATATTCATACATATCAGTAGAAGTAGCGGGGAGGGAGTTCAAATCATAAATTTTTCAGTAGAGTGTTTGCTCTTGTATGTTTCCCTCGCATCGAAGTAAATTTCAAACTAAAGCAAAGTGGCAGGAGATGTAAAAATCATCTCACATTAGCTGACTACTCTATTTTTCCTTCCTATATTCTAGGGAAATCAAACAACGGTAGCTAATTTCCGTGCAATCCTTTCTTTCTTTCTCCATATCCGTAGCCTAAGCTTCAATTATCTGCATTTGATTTCAAAAACCTCCATCGGCGCATGTAAATACACGTGCAGAAACGAATAAACAAATAAATTCAAAACATACGCGTAAAATTAGCAGGGATAGAGAGCTTACGGGGAGGATGAGAGTACAGACGATGAGGGAGAGCAAGGTGGAAACAGCGACGCATATGAACCGTCTGATCATGAAGCTTTTGAAGGAGGTTGGGGGAGGAAGGATCAAAGTCGGAGTGTACAGAACGGCCACGTAGGACAGGGCCATTGCAGTGCAAGTCGCCACTGCCGTTGATTTCGATATGCCCTCTTCTCCATCGCCGCAGGAAGAAGTTCAGAATCTCTCAGATCCGTCGACGCAAGAATCATCTATACACTAAAACGAGTATATGCCCGTTGGCATCTATGCGTTTGCCGTGTACAGTCGAATTTATTTGCAGAGTGCTGTCGTCGGCGAGTCGGCGGGGCTGCTGCTTGCTTGATAATTGGCCCAGCCTTGGCCCGGACTTCGGGGTGTTACCCTCAGTTTCTTCCCGGACGGCCGTCTCTAACCAATTAGCATTCGCCACGTTGTCTTAAAAATTTTCGAAGAAATCAAGACTTGTCTGGTAAGATTTATGTCTGATAATTTTTGCCTGTAAACTACGTGTAATTTTTTTTTAAAACTTTATAAGATATTTACTTTTATTTAAGATAAAAAAAATCTATCTCGTTTTAAGTTCATCTAAATAATATTTAGTTTTATTTTTTTTATCATAAAAATATTTTTTCACCGACTGTTAATTAATAATTTTATTAAAAAAAGGTAAAAGTATCTCAATTATACTTGTTAAAATTATTTATCTAAATTAAAATTAAAATATTATTTAATTCATTTAAAATTTTTTAAAATTTTTAAAATTTTTAAATTAAAAATTTTAAAAATATGACTTTTGATAATATCCTGTCAATATTTTTAAGTTTTTAAGATTTATTTTATAATATTTTAATAGTATTTAACTTGTTTTAGTTTATACACTCATCCTTTTTTAATTAAAAAATAATAAAATAAAAATTATTTAAAAATTAGAAAATAATAAAATTAAAATATCAAAAGTTATATTTTTGATTATTTTTAAAAATTAAAAGTAAGAAACTTCAAAAATAACTTTTTAAATAAATCAAATAATATTTTAATTTTTAGTTGGATGAGTAATGAAAATATATGAAATTGAATTATTCTCGTATATTTTTAACAAAAACATTAGATAACATTAGTTAACAATCAGTCAAATGAAAAAAACATTTTTTTTATAATAAAAATGGTACTATGTATTATTTAAATAAATTTAAAAGGAGGAGAGTATTTTTTACCTTTCTATGTATATTTAATTTTTTTAAAAAGAATATTCTCACTATCATTTCTTATTTTGCTTCAAGTTTCTCTTTAATTTATTTAAAAATATAAGCAAACACAGTTATTGGTAGATTTCTTTAACGTCGTTTCTGCATAAATAAGTATGTCCATTAATTAAGATTTCATGTAATATGAATATTTAATCATATAACTTAGTGATTGATTTTGCACAGAAAATTAAAAGGTTAAAAAGTACCAAATTTTTGTCGAATCTATTTAAGCGTTACTTAGTGAAATTCTTATTCTAAAAATATAATTCTTTTTCTTAAGACAATTTAACAAACAGTTAAATTTAATGATATTAAAGTAATGAAATGTTAGTTTGATTCATGACAAAATAAAAATGAAAAAAATTTTAAAAAATAGTTGTTAAAAAAAGAAAACTCTCTCATAAAATAGCTTCAAATAGTTTATATAAGAAAATTAATTTGGTCTAATAATTTAATTAATATATAAATTAATAAAAAAATTAAAAAGGATATTATTATGATTATAAAATTAAAATGAAGGTAAAATTTTTCAAATATTATTGCAATGGGAATGTCAAACAAATTGTAGATGAGAAAAATTAAAAAAAATTAGTTAATTAAAAAATTAAAATAAAAAATTTCTTTGCAAGTAGTTCATAATGATTTATATTAAATTTTTAACTAAATCTATTAATTTAATTAATAAAAAAATTAAAAAGGTAAGATTATCATTATAAAATGAAATGAGATAAAATTATTTAAAGATTATCATTCTATGAGAGTAAAATCATTCAATTTAAAAAATTCAAAGAAGAAATATTGTCAAAAATTATTCAAAGCATAATATAGTGGGAGAAAAATGTTTAAAGAATATTATGATGAAGATAGAATCATATAATAAATGTTTAAAAATAAAAAATAAGATTTACATTATAAAATAAAATAATAAAAATATCCAATAAGTATTTTAATATTATTAAATGTTTATATATAATATAAATTAACAACTAATTTTGTATTAGGAAAAATAAAATTTGTTAAATATTTCATAAATAAATAAATTAAACTTGTTTCATTTTAATACTTTGTTAGATTTATTTGATTTAAACTTATTTTTTTAATTTATATTCATATATTCACTTAAATATATAATCAAACAATTAAATTTATTTTAGAAATTTAAATAAAATAAGTTTAAGTTGGGTTATTCTCACATTTTTTTAACACTGTTAGGTTTAACTATTAGTTAAATTGAGTCAAATAAGATAAGTGCTTTTTCATTACAGGAATGAATATAAATGTTATTCAAGCAAATTTAAAATAAAGAGATCATGCTTTTACCCAAATTAAAAACACATTTTGTACTTAATGCAAATAAGATAA